AAGAAGAGTTGCTACTGGTGAACAAGAGAGAGCAAGGAAGCTGGAACGTGATTTGGCTGAGAATCACAAACAGATTAGAACGCTCAATAGTGGATCCAAGGAGTTGGATAAGATACTCTCAATGGGACAACCAGCCAAGGCAAATTGGGGACTGGGATACCGAGGAGGTGAGAGCACTGGCGTACATCAGAAGGGGCGGTCACAGTTCGTGCAAGGGAGCACTTCAAAAAGTGAAGCCAAAGATGTTCGTCAGGAAGTACGTCGGGACGTACGACAAGGAGTACGACATGAAGTTCTACAGCGTGTGGCTGTGAGTAACAAGCCGAAAGTGTTACATTAGTGCAGCAACATGAAGGTCAGACAGGAGGTTCTGAATCATGGTTGTGCATCTGGTACAAGAAAGGAGACTGGTTGGTGCATCAGCAACTGTGTCAGGCCCAAGAAGAAGCAACATTGGATGTGCTGCTGGTTCTGTGGGAAGGTTGGACACAAGAAGGTGGAGTGTTTTGCTCGTGAGAAGAGCAGAAACATGGCCAAGAAGGTGAACAAGACGTTCACTAAGCCCAAGGGCGTTGAAGAGGTGTTCTTAGCCAAGAGTGGCTTACTTGATGAGGTCAAGGAAGGAACATCAAAAGAAGGGTGCAGCTCTGGTAGGAGTGATCTTGAGGAAGATCAAGAAGCATCAAGTCTGGAGCCAGGACACGGAGTTTTTTGTGGTTCAAAGGGGAAAGAGATCGAAATGCGTCAGGAAGTGATGCGAGATGATCTTCAGGAGGGTGATAGCGAAATCACTCCAAGACAATAGCAACGAGTGCAGAGAGCACTCGGTGTGGATGAGGAGGGGCTCATGGTCAAGGAGACGACGCATGAAAGAAGCCAAGTCCTCAACAAAAGTGGGTCGAAAGGTAGTTCGACAGGTGTGTCAGATCGTGATGCAGTACTTGTAATATATTCCGCTGCAGCAGGGGCTGTATCATGATTACTGTGATGGATGGCTTGACATCTAAGCATCTGTGTTTTAGCTTAGTATGCAATCAAGCAGGGGGAGAAGTGGTGACGTTCTAGTCCAAGGAGTGCATATCTCATGGGGGAGAAGAGCAAGGTGATGGACGTCCTGAAGTAGATGGTGCTTATCTCATGGGGGAGAAAAGCATGTAGTGGTGCACATCTCGTGGGGGAGAAAAGCACATTTGGTATGGAAAGTTCCAAGTGAGTAACGTGGTTGTTGAACCAGAAGGATGTTGTGCTTGATTGGTACACAAAGCTAAAAGGGGGAGATTGAAGATGTAAGATGTCCGCCCTGAAGTAGTCGCTGACGTAGTTGCTGAGGCAGACGTCGTGTTGAGTGGTGAAGACCATGTGGAGTCAAGATGCTAAGCTGGAGTCGTGTAGACTTGGAGAGCAATGGTGTATCTTGGAGAAAAGGTAAGAGGAATAAATTTGAGGAGCAAGTTTATGACTTAAAGAAAGAGAAATAAGTGCATTTCAAGAAAAGGAAAGTTACACTTAATGTTATGGAAGATGTCCATATTGTGTTCCTTGGAGACTAGGGTTTCAGGAACGTGGAGAATAAGTATAAGACAGCAAGGGGGTCGTCTGTAGAGAGACAGAGACACGGAGGCTAATCTTATAGATAGAGAGAGAGAGAGAAGCTCTTAAGGTGTTCTTGGGTCGTGCTGAAGCAGAGGTTGAAGTACTTGACGGCAGAGAGACATAAGTGAGTAGCTTAGGAATCTTTCAGTGACGTGTGTTAGGGTGTTAACACTAGACGTGTAAAGCTGAATAAACAAGGTCTTGTAAAGATTGTTTAAAGAAGATTTGAATAAAGCTATTATTGTTTTATCTCTTGGTTTACCTTCTGTACTATCTTATTGTGGTGTCATCTTTACACTTACATATGACACTAATTATAAATATAAAAATGTACTACTTTTAATGGTCTAAAATAGTTAGGTAGCGCTTCAATTAGTTGTCGAAAATTACATAAAATGAAATACTATGATCCTTTTGTTGATGTTCAAAAGAAAAATGATCCTTTTGTTTTCATCATATAAACCGGTTTCGTTTTTTTCCCCAGTGCAATAAATTGGTTATAAGGACGTACGTCGTTGTCTACATTAATTTAAGAAAGAAATTAAAATCAACGAAAATATATAATAGCATTACTTCAAAATGTCGACATATTTGGCGTGAGTGTAATATTCTCGAGAATTTATAAACAAATGTCATCTCTTCTCTAAGGTCTAAACCTGTTGCCCAACTGCAAACTCCATCACGATGTCGACATTAATCCTCCAACTTGTTTTCTTCTCTATTCTTTATCCTATCAGATTCTCCTATTTAATAAGTCTCGTTCGTTCATGTCTTTGGAGTTCACGAGATACTTTTTTTTTTACGCTGACTTTTTCATGATCCCGACGAAATCTTCTTAGTCACTCAATGTTCTTCATCGATGTCCGTCCAATTACTATTTTCAATTATTTTATTAAATTTGAATAAAATGAAACTGATTTTGGGTTTTATGGTTTAGGTTCTTTGGAACTTGTTTCCTCTATACTTTTTCAGATCAGAAAGAGATTCTCTCTCAGGTATTACTTCATCGAACATAACGTCAACAATATGTTTGGTTTTGTTCTGATATATATATGTTTGGTTTTGTTGCAATGGGTCCTCTGTTTACAGCAACAGAGTCCATCTTCCAGATAGTTCCTGAGACAATGGCTGCTTCTTCATCTACAATCCTTTGCAATGCTTCCGAGTCTGACCTTTGTCGTGACGACTCCGCAGCGTTTCTTCTCAAGTTAGTAGCCATTGCTTCCATTCTCTTAGCTGGAGCTGCAGGTGTTGCGATACCACTCATTGGGAGAAACCGCCGGTTCCTTCAAACAGACAGTAGTCTCTTTGTGGCTGCTAAAGCCTTTGCAGCCGGTGTGATCCTCGCCACGGGTTTTGTTCACATGTTGGCTGGTGGCACGGAGGCTTTGAACAACCCTTGCTTACCGGAGTTCCCTTGGTCTAAGTTTCCTTTCCCGGGTTTCTTTGCGATGGTTGCTGCTTTGATCACTCTGCTTGTTGACTTCATGGGGACTCAGTACTACGAGAGGAAGCAAGAGAGGGAAGCTGCTCATCAGTCTGATGAACAGCCTGGTCGTGAACAGTCTCCAGGTGGTATTGTTGTTCCCGTGGTTGTGGAAGGTGGGAACGATGATGATAAAGTGTTTGGAGAAGAAGCCAGTGGCGGGATTCACATTGTTGGCATTCATGCTCATGCTGCTCACCATACACATAGTCACTCTCAAGGTCATGGTTCATGTGATGGACACCAGAAAATCGAAATTGGTCATGCTCATGGACATGGACACTCGCACGGAGGTTTGGAGCTCGGAAGTGGAGCAAGGCATGTCGTTGTTTCTCAGGTTCAAATCTCTGTTCCATGTTTCTTGGTTCTTGACTTTTGATTTTGTTGTTTCCTGATTCTTGCAGAGTATAGAATGTACTATGTAACTCAAGATTAGTCTCATTTTACTGACCATTTTTAGGTTTTGGAACTTGGAATCGTGTCACATTCGATTATCATCGGCATATCACTTGGAGTATCTCAATCTCCATGCACAATACGGCCTCTAATCGCAGCACTATCATTCCACCAGTTCTTTGAAGGGTTTGCGCTCGGTGGATGCATCTCCCAAGCGCAGTTCAAGAACAAGTCAGCGACCATAATGGCTTGCTTTTTCGCCCTCACAACACCGATAGGGATCGGTATTGGAACTGCAGTGGCGTCGTCTTTCAACTCTCACAGCGTTGGAGCATTGGTCACAGAAGGTATCTTGGATTCTCTGTCGGCAGGGATACTTGTGTACATGGCTTTAGTGGATCTCATAGCTGCTGATTTCTTGAGTAAAAGAATGAGCTGTAACTTCAGGCTTCAGATTGTTTCTTATATGATGTTGTTCCTAGGAGCTGGACTCATGTCTTCTCTTGCTATTTGGGCTTAGATTGTGAGATTCTTTCTTCTGTTATAGCTGCTAGGTAAAAACAACATCCCCTATATATTAATTGAGAAACATTTGAAAAATTGTAACCTCAGTTTTGTAATAATTAAAAAAGAGTTTATGCTTACGTGTCACTCAATTATGTAGTCAATTACATTCAATTGAAAAATAAGTAGGTCCACATTCGATTTTTATATGCCACTAGATATATTTGTTGGTCAAACTATGATATGATATTTATGATACAATCATTTATGATTGTCTTGCTAGATATAATTACTATTTATTTTCTTTCCTTAAGTAAAAGCTACGGAATTACCATAAATGACAAATATATATATATATATATATATATATATATATATATATATATATGACAATTAATGTTTCTAATAATAAATATTTGATAACAATTTGTATCTCCTCCATCATTTTTCTTTAATTTTATATTATTAAAATAAATCAAACAATCAAATTAGCTATAAAATTAAACTTTAGATTTTTTTTTTCGTATATGTTATATTTTGAATTTAAAAAAACCAAGAATAAATGACTAAAACTATTAAAATTATTATGTTAAAAATTAATGATCAATAGTTTAACATTTTTATTATAAAAAGATACACATGATTTTAAAACCATATGAGTAAAAAGTATCATTCAATAATAAAAAAATGTATATATATATATATATAGATTAAACTATATACAATATAAGATTACATACTTATTTTAATTTCAAAAATTTCAATGAATTTTCAAGAACATTTATAAATTATAAACGTATTAAATTTTTCACATTGAAAATTTTTGTTATCAATGATTTAAATATATTAGTTCTTTTTTAATTTTCTATTTTTTACAGATATTAACACAATCGATAATATGGTTATTTTTGGTATATACCATACAAACCGAATGTATGTGGATTTATAAAAACCGTAAGATTTGGATATGGTTTGATTTATAATCGATTAAACTGAAACATGTAAATATGTATATCGATTTGTTACATGAGTTGAACTATAATTATGATTTGTAAATCACTTGAATCACTTGAAATATAATTAACTAACAATTTAATGCAACTGAGGCTTCTTATTTTCTTCAAATTTTTTTTGATCTTTTTTTCTTTTTTTTTTAATAAAAACTAAATTGAAGTAAAATTATAAATTTGATGGACAACAATTAGTTGAAATTCTTTACAATTTGTTTTAATCTTTAAACAAACAAAGTTGTGTTCAATCGAAGACATATTAATTTGATGAACACTAAATATGGAAGAATATAAAAACTTTTCTTTCATGCTTCTGTTTTGTTTTTATTTTTATTTTTAAAATTTAGAGATTTGAAATTAATTCTAGACTAGATTTTGATCCACGCTTTAAAAGCGCGGGTATATTTTTTACCATTTTGATAAAATTTATTTAAATTAATTATTCAAACACAAAAATTTAAAAGTTGTTTTATTAATATTTAAAATGTTATATTATAATGTTTGATTTTCACGTAATGTTTCCATATCCGATCCAGATCCATAGTTGAACTGGTACATCCGGCAACTGTTATATAATCCAGTTAAGATTTAATTAAAAATTTATTAATTAAAAATGTAAGCAAACCAGTATATATCTTAAAACCCGCTATTAATATGTATTATGATATCCGTTGATCCGTTAAATAACCCCATAAAAAGCTGATAATATATTTTACAAAATTTGTTAAATAACATATTTTTAATATTAAATAAAATTGATTTTTTGTAATTTCTTTAACAAAAACTTTCTTGTCATTTGCAAAAAAAATGAAACAATGGAAATAGAAAAAAACACAATTTATTCATATGACAATATTAGTTTTCTTTTCGTTATAAATAACCTATGATAAGTTTACATTTTTACTCATTTTATATCTAAAAATTAGTTTTTAAAACAAATTGAATTAACATATCATTATTATGGATAAAAAGGACACAATAAATAATAATTTTTAATTTTTAATCGTTAAATAATATGATGCACGGAAATATGATATTAAAATTAAATAGAAAATCATAATTTTCATAAAAGAAAAATTATTATTAATCACAAAAATAGGAATATATTATCAGTTACCATAAATATAGGAGATATTAAATTGCTTAGTTAATTAATATTTTAAAAATAAATAGTGGTATTATCTTATAAGTATGATAAAAATCTAGGGGTAGAATCCAAAATTTTAACAATAGGATCATGCTTTAATAGTATAGATTTGATCATTTTATTAGATCATAGAAGCCTTTTTTTTTTGTTTTTTATTCTTTTAGTTAAATATATAATATTTTTTTAGTAAATGACTTTTTGACAATATGAATCTAAATATGATCATATTATTTATTTTTATAATATGTAATATGATTTCAAATTAAATAATGATGTATTTTGGTATAAAATTGAATAAACTGAAAACTAATATATAAACCAAATTAAACTGAAGTAAATATGGATTTAGAATAGTAGTTATATTTTAATAACCAAAATACTGAAACCCGATATCCAGATTGAACACCCTTAATCTAGACGAAACCGAACTTTTGTTTCATTTTCCAAAACATAATAAAAATAATAATTTCATCTCGCGCAAGGCGCGGGTCTTATCCTAGTGTATGATTGTAGAATAATCAAATCTCAAATGTAGTTTCTAAACTCTTCAAACTCCGAATGCTGGGCAACAGAAGTTCATGTTGAGGCTAAGGGAATGCACTGTTTCAAACTCAGTCTGTTGGGTTTGTATTTAATTATTTTGTAGTGGCCCAAAATCAGCTCAATGAAAACTAGGGGTGCACAAAGAAACTGAACCAAACCAAGTAAAACCAAACCTAGCTTTTTATTAACAAATCATTTAGTTCCAACCCGAACGGTTTGGTTCGTTTTAGTTTAAAGCAGAACCAAACCAGAAACCAGTGAGTTTATGTATTTATTTGAATTAAACATATAATATCTATTATATTAAAAGAGAACTCACAACTTCTATTCATGTGTGATATTTTTAAAAATGGACCTTCCTTAGAAAATCTTATTTCATTTATTTCTTATTAGCATATTGACATTATTAAGATATCACATCTTATTTAATCAACACTATAACAACTTCTCCTATAAAATTGTTTTAATTTTATTTCTAACTATATAAATTCTGTTGAAGAAAGAATCTAACAAAATCTTATAAAAAAATTTAAATTTTTTTATATAATAATGGATTAATTAATTTCGTAATTATTAGTCTAAATTATTTGAATATAATAATGTGATTATTTATGAAAAACTTCTATATACTAAAATTATAGATGCTAAATTATATATTTTAAACATAAGCATGAAATATAAATGATCCTAAACAAATATCTATTCTATTGTATAACTAAATAAAATTTAAAAATTGTTTGCTTGCAAACTGTAGAAAAATGTATAAAACATATAAAAATATTTTGAAGGGGGTTACCTATTTGATTATTTCAAATTATTAATTTACTAGGTGATTTTCCCGTGCTCATGCACGGGTATAAATATTCATAAAAGTAAAATTTTATAATAACTGATTGATAGTAAGTTTTAGCTTTGTATCAATTTATATGTATAATTTAAATTAATAAATATTATATTATTCTAATTATACATATGACTTTGGATATATTATTGTCGGTTTAATTATTTTTTGGATCAATAGTCGTTTAGTTATCAATTTGGTATATTGGATAATATTTCTTTTTCGAATTCAGCTATAATACTTTTTATTGTAAATATAATAAAACTTTGATTAATTTTCTTATTTTCATTTCGGTTGGTTATTTTCTTAGATATGTAAATATATTCTTAGATATGTAAATATCTTATAGTTAAATTATATATAACTTAATATATATATATATATATTGTGCTTAAACTAAAATAAATAATAAACTGAAGTGTTTGATTCAAAATTACATAAATGAATATAATGATAATATTTTGAAGTCTCATGGATATATACAAATTCTATAAAAGAATAAATTGTAATTGGTTAATATTTTATTTTTCTTTTTAATATGCTTTGAGTCAACCTCTAATTTATATTTATAAAATTAAATAGATTATTATTACTATAAAATTTTATGTTCTTATTGTAGTTAGATGTTTAATTTTGGATATAAATTAGATTAGTCGAGTCATTCATGTTGTGAGTATATTGAGTTAAGATTGAAGTATAATTACTTTTTATTTTAGTTAAGTCCAATCAAATTAGTTTTATTTATCGCTTAAATATACAAGTATTTTCATAATATTTATCAAATTATATGTTGATTTATAAAAAAAATATTAGAAAATAAAGTGTAACTGATAAATTTTGGATGTTCATGAACATATATATTTTTATTATTTTGAAAATATACTATATGTTATTTAAAAATATATATTAATGGGGTATATTACTATTTTGTGAACTTTCCTTTTTAATAAAGTCATATTATATATATATATATATTTTCCTTTTTAAATCTGTTTTAAAATTTTAGAAATATTTCCTTTTTATATGTTATTTTGAAAAAGTAAAAAAGAAACTAAATACAAAATTAATAATAAACTTAAAATCTAACAATTCATTAAGGGTATCTATGTAATCAACCATCGCGAGAGTTAACGTGAACACGACACATATGAAACTGACTTCTCAAATAATATTATAAAGATTGTACCTACTTTGAAATTATATTATTATGTAATAACAATTTATGACAAGTTAAAATGTATAAACAATCTGTATGTATTAATAATTTCAAAAAAATAAAACAATAAAATTATAGAATTACATTATATATAACATTAAAATGAAACACATATATTTAAAATGTTTAAGATAATATCAAAGTATACATTTATAATATAGGCTAAAAAAAGTATTCAACAATAAAAAAAGAATTAAAGTCTTTGTTATATTGAGAAACGTACATATGTTCTTTTTCTCCAAAAATATATGTTTTATGT